CCCTTAAGGGGCAGCCAATAAAGGGAAACATGAGACGTTCCTTCCATTCGTGAGTCTTGGGAGTTAATTAGGAATTCTACTTGGGCAAGCAAAAGTACTCCTGAAGCCTCCCCCACCATGGATAAAGTTATTATTATTATTATTATTATTGTAATTTTTTTTTATTCGTAGTTACCAACTGATAATAACTCTCTTGACTTCATTTGCGCCTTGGTCCTCTTTGATGGTGTTATATAAATGTACACTGTCATTATTATGATGCTAGGGGGTAGGGGTAGACAAATTTGTACGCTCTTACATATGCATAAAAATGTTGATTCAAAATAACATGCAATATGTAAAATAATGGTAAAATTATAATGTAGCCATGGATGTAATATTCATTTTTAAGCAAGTGGAGTGGAGGCTTTACAAAATCAACTTTTTTTTGTACACTTTCAGAGGGGAGTGAGGGGTACCGAAAAAGAGAACTGTTTGTACACTTCTGAAAATATTGATAACTGTGAACGGCCCTTTAAAATGTTTACAATACTTGCAAAAGTCTTGTATGGGTCAAGTGGCGCAGCGTGTAAGGTTTTGGACTTCTGATCGTGAGATCGGGAGTTCGAGACTGGTGCCCGTCGCATTGCTTGTGTCCTTGGGCAAGGCACTTTATTTACGTTTGCCTCTCTCCACCCAGGAGTATAAATGGGTACCTGGTAGAATGGTATGGCATTGAACGTATGTTGTGCGTGTAAAGCAGCATGACTAGGGATACTCCCCAGGAAGCAGAGAAAGTTGCACAAAAATGTGCTGGTTTTTGCCAACTTAGTATCCAGTGAACAGTAAATACTAAAGCCAATGCCATGTATACTCCTCAGTTTGTGAATTTGGCCTGCTTATAAAAACTATAGCAATGGTATTTGATAAGTTGATAAACCTGCAGCTGTAATGATATACCTTGATGGTACTACAATATATTGTACTATAGAACTACTTAGAATGCACATAAAAATAGTATTAAAGAGGACAATCTTTTGAGAAGATTGATTTTGGTTTTTAAATTTTTTTTTTTTAGAAAGGAGAACTTGATTCAGCTCTGCATTATTCATTGGTGCATAATCAAGTGGATTTCGTGAAGCTGTTTCTCGAGCGTGGCGTCAGTTTAAAGGACTTTTTAACCGTTCGAGAGTTGACTCTTCTTTACAATGAGGTAGGTTGACACCACTTTCAAAAATACTTTTTCTTATACAAGAACTTCTAAATAATTGCTCACACAAAATGATTTTTAGTATTGTATGTTTGATTTGAGAGATCAAATTTGGGCTGTACCATTATTGTTTTCATATTGTTGATGTAAGTTTTTATTCCTGTTTTCGTGTTCCTACAGTGTATATCTTTCACACCACTGTTGGTGAGGTTAAAAGAAAAGTAGTATATTAAATATGTAATAAATTTATACATCTTAGTTTTATGTTATTATACATATTTAATCTTTCAGGTGAAAGAGAAAACTCTGATTTACGAGTACTTGGACAAAGAGAGAGGAGGAAAGGTTTGTTATTGCACTTTTGAAACTGTTTTAATAGGAAAATCTCTGTGCCGAGTCAAAACCGTGTATAAGAAATTTGTATCACTACAGTCTGTATCACTAATTGAATAGCACATTTTTTTCACAATTGTTGAAAAATACTTGGAGCAGATATTTTCCAAAATGTGTGTAATATTCTTAGCAAATCTGACAAACTATGCATAATGCAGACAAGTGTCCAAATAGGCCTCTGTTGTGTTTACAGACCTCAAGAAAGTTTAATCTGTGGGATGTTGGGAAGTTAATTGAAGAGATGACGATGGACTCATACGAGCCACTTTACCTTCGGGATCAACCACGTTACGTGTTGACAGAGGCCGAGATTGTTTCGGGAAAGAAAATGAGAGACGTCATAGCAGAGAACGAGAGTGAGACTGGAGCTTTTGAGTCGATGGGGCAACATGCTTTATCCATGGGTATAGCACAGGCTACCAATGTTTTGGTACCAAATAGTAAGTTAGGATTTTTTTTGCTCAATATATTTTTTAATGTATGCATGTATGTAATTTTCAACTGGTACTGTGGGATTTAACAGTAATAATCATTGAAAAATTATAATATATCTACGTGGTGTACTGCAAGCATTAAATATATTACTACTTCACCATGCAAACCTTTAAACTATAGTTCTTCAAGTGTAAGCCCATCTCCTGCTTTACACTCAAATTTATGTACCAGCCTTTCCTCACATTCAAAAGCCCAGGTATGATTTGAATTAGTAACTTACTTGATTTTTTGTACAAATTGCATTCATAAATGGATTTAATTAGGTAGGCAGTAATAAAAAA